TCCTTTAACACATATCGCCCTTCTTCTCCGGTTACACATCGCAAGTGGGGGCCCGCATACGACCTCTTGTAGAGAATCCCTCCGTGCTCGAAAAATCTCCTCATTACTTTAACGGCTCCTTCCTTCAATTCTTTTATTATCAGTGCCCTCCAATCCTCGACTTCTTCTATCTCGACCACCTCCTTCTCGACTGAACTCTTATCCATGTGTAGCAAGGTCACATTTCTGCTCTTACAATCCACCAGACTTTGTGCCACTTTAGCTAACAGATCCGCTCGACCATTTTCTCCTCGAGGTATCTGGATTAAGTCGAAAGAATCAAACTCTCCCTGCAGTTTCTTCATCTCCTCCACATACCTCACCATCCTTTCTTCTCGGACCTCAAACCCTTCTTGGAATTGACCCACCACCAATTGTGAATCCGAATGTACCTGCACTTTTCGAGCTCTGCCACTTAAGGCCAGTTTGAGTCCTTTAATGACCGCCTCAAGCATCCTCATCATCATCTTCCTCGCTCTTCTCCACCGAGTCCTCCCGACACCTTCTCTTCTCCTTCCTCCTCCCCTTATCCTGATAAACAAACTCCTTGAGATTCCCTGCTCGAATAAGGCGCTCAATCTCATCCTTGAGATGCCGACAATCCTCAGTAGTATGGCCATAGTCTTTGTGGAAGCGGAAATATCTCCTCGACTTCAGTTGGGTTGGCCCTTCGAACCTCGACCTTGGCCACGTCACATCTTTCCCATCTATCCCTTTCTCCATGGCCATCAAGACCTCGGCTACCTTCACGTTCAACGGGGTATAATCATTGAATCTTTTCCCTCCAGAGATAGGCCAGTCCTTCCATCTGTCCTCTCGCCCTCGATCCTGCTTAGCTCGCCCCTCTCTCCTAGGCGAGGCTCTTCTTTTAGGCGAAACTGCTTTCTCCTTCCTCGACTCCCCTCGGCCTAACTCCTCTAGCTTGGCAAACTCTGCCTCGGTCTCCTCGAGACTAATATATTTCCTACACCTCCTCAACACCTCATCAT